CGCAGATCGGACGGGATGCGGTGCTTTCAATGTTCTATGGCCGCAGATGTTTGACAGTGAGAGCGCGATGTTCATGAACCTCTGATGGCTGTTGACGATGGAGGGAATCTCGAGAGCTTTGCGTTTCGTTTATGCGGAATTGTGTAGGGTGAGAGACCAATTGTTGAGGGTTCGGTGGTTTTCAGGACGCTCGTTTGGCGGCAAGTGGTCCTTTGTGAGTTCTGGGTTAAACTCGACGTCTAGTGTCAAGGTGGACTGTTCGTTGTGGGAGTCAAGGGAGTGAAGGAGCAAGGGGAAGTAGAGGCGAACCTCAGGTCTCGTTGTGTCCCTCCAACATTCGTCTTTGATCGCAAAGATGTGAGGCTGCACTTCTTCTGACTGCTTGATTCCTTGTGTTGCCGCTGCAGTGAGGTGGGCTGTGAAGAGGGCAATTGAGATTGATTCGCCTTGTTGGACGGTGATGTTGATTCGACCGGCAAAGGTTAGTGTCGGCGTTATGTTGGCTTCCTCCAGGCATTCGCGCAGTGCACATTCCCTAACCGTCTCCCCAGCACCAACCTTGCCACCAAAACCATTGTACATCCCAGCACCAAACCCCCGCCTCTTTAGACCCAACAACACTTCACTGCTGTTGAGCAACAACACAAGCGTGTGCGTATATCCAACATCATCTTCACTAGGTCGAACACTCGGTCGACAAGACTGGGCGTATCCTTCCCGTTCCGAGTCATACCAACCCCAGGAGGGAAGACTTGCAGCTCCAAACACCGGACCCATGTCGCATCGTGGTGGTACTCAGCATACCCTCGCGCGCCCAAAATGACAAATTCTAACCACCATCTCATCCCTCTCAACGCACGGTCCAAGATCATGGAGTGGGGAATGAAATTTTCTCGCTTTCTATCTACTGGCATCTACGCAATCTAGAGATTCGCCTTGGGCTCTCCGTCCTCGACCGCCGCTGGGGCAGCGGTGGCCTTCAATACGGCCTCTGCGATACGGGCCACTTCGTCGCCCTCACCGCTCGGGTCCTTGGCATGCTGGTCGAACGATACCACCGGCATAGCCGCCTTGCTCGGGTTCAAGCTCGCCTTGAACGCAACCGCGTCCTTGACCTCGACGGCCGGTACCGCACTGGCCACAGTGCTCGTTGCCACCTCGGCCTTTTCTTCGACAAAGGGGAACTGGGCCGACAAGCTGTCGACGAGACCGAGCATCTGCTTGACTGCTTCGGCGGGCACAGGCGTGGGGTTCTGCGCCATCGCCTCGGACGCCATGTCCTTGACGCTCTCGATCGCAGGCTGCTGCGCCCTCAGAGCCTCCCATGCCTCCTTGGGCACCGTCAGCCCCTGCGATGCCACCGCCTGCTCGAGCGCATCCACCGCCTGCGCCGAGAAGCGCGCCGACGGCTTGGCAGTCGCATTCAGCTGCACCGACAGCTTGCTGCGCGTCTTGCTGCTCGGGTGGATGTACTTCATGAACAGCTCCACCACGTCCTGCTTGGACACCTTGGCGATCGCCTCGACATCCGCATAGCGCGACGCAAAGTCGTACGTGCCGCCAAAGATGTGCGCCCAGAAGCGCTGCGACTCCTCGTACAGGTTCTTGACCGTCTCGAGCCGACGGTGGATCAGGCTGCGTCGGTGACCCTCGAATTCGGACTCGCTCATCTTGTCGAGCGTGGCCTTGAACTGGTCTAGGAACGCATCGATGCGGCTCTCGAGGTACGGCGCATCGCGCTCGCTTTGCAGAATGATGCGCCAGCCCATACCGCCCACACTGCGTCGCATCGCGCTGAACACAAGGTAGCCAAGCTGCTCCTTCGTGCGCAGCTGGTCGAACACGGGCTCCGTGGCCATCTGCTCGAACAGCGAGAGCACGGCGCGCAGCTGCACGTTGGTCGGCTCGCCCACCTGCACATAGTACTCGATGGCGCTGTTCACGTTGGCCGCGTTGGTCGCCTCCACCTTCATGATGCGGTTGCAGCCCTCCGGCAGCAGCAGCGATCGGCTCGAGACGAGCTCGCTCTTGTTGACCGCACGCGCTTTGACCGTGTTCCACGCCATGTTGGCCAGCTCCACCGCCTCGGCCTTGGCGAGGTTGCCGTGCACGAGCATCTCGAGATGCATGCGCTGCAGCAGCTCGGGCAGGAACTGCTGCACCGCGCCCACGCTCAGCTCCTCGAGCTCGCGCAGCTTCTCCTGCGGCGTCCACATCTTCTCGTGCAGCAGATATGTCGTGTAGAAGCCCGCGTGGCGGTACGGCTCCTCGATCGCAAAGTTCTCGTACGATCGCTTGACGCGGTCCTTGACCAGCTCGAATCGACGCGGGTCGATCTGGAAATTGGCCAGCTTCTCGAGAATGCTGCGCGCTAGCACGGGGATCTTGTCGTTGTACCCAGCCAGCGAGAGCGCCAACGACTGGTCCTGCGTATCGAGCATGTAGCTCAGGCCAGCCAGGGATGCATCGTACGAGTACTCGACGAGCGAGTCCGAGATGAGCTCGACAAACATGCGCGTCTTGACCGACGTCGAGGGCGTGGCGTTGATCAGCGGGTTGCGCAGCACGAGGAAGACGTTGGCCTTGGGCAGACCGAATCGGTCGTCGAGCTTGTGCCACACACGCATGCTGTCGTTGTCAACCACGAGCTGCGGTCGCGGCGTCGGCTTCTTGCCCTGCACATCGGCGAGCGGGCCCTTGAACTCAAAGTCGGCCGGGATGAAGGAGTTGGGACTCGGCAGGCGGAGGTCCTCGAACTCGGTGGGTGCCTGGGTGAGCAGCTGCTGCGGGAGCGGCTTGATGGAGTATTCGGTGCCGTACCATTTCTCCTTGCTCTCCCATTCGATGCTGCCGTCGGGCAGGGTCTTGGCCATGACGACGACGCGGCAGTTGTTGGGCGTGAGCTGGTCGAGCGTCTGCTTGATCAGATCGCGGTCAAAGTCGCGCGTGAGCCAGGCGCCGGACAGGACCCACTCGCGCGGGTAGGGCATCTGCATCTGCGTCGCCGTGCTGGACGCGTAGTCGGCGGGGTCGATCTTCTCCTTGAAGCGGAACATGAGCTCGCCGAGCTGGGCGACCTCGTCGTGCGTCCACTGCTCGAGGTTGCTGGTGCGCAGCAGGTGGATGTACTTGAAGACGGACTCGAGCACCTTTTCGTGGTTCTTGAGACCCTCCTGCGTGAGATCGATCGAGATCTTGAAGAACTCGAAACCGTTGGCGTCGCCGGTCGCGCCCGCAGAGAGTCGGTCGCACCAGCCCTTCTTCTTGAGGTGGGAGAGGATGGAGCCTTCGCCCTCGTGGCCGATGAAGTGGGAGAGGAAGGAGCCGGGCTTGGATCGGAAGTGAGGGCCTTGGTCCGGGATGGGGAAGGCGATCTTGAGTTTGCGGACGTCGCGGACCGACTTGGCAAAGATCTGCTTCTGCAGCTGCTCCTGGGTGAGAGGGCTGCGATCGAACAGCGGCGGCTCGCGTCCCGTGTTGCGGACGCCCGAGAACTTCTCGATGACCCAGCCAGTGAGCTTGTCGAGGTCCTCCCTGCCGAGCACGACGAGCTTCATCACGTTGGCCGAGTAGTACTTGTCGTGGAACTTGAGCAGCTCGTCGCGCACGTCCATGCCCTTGCTCTTGGGCTCCTCCCAAAGCGTCTGGTAGTTGCCGGTACCAAAGTGCGAGTAGGGGTGGGTGGGGTCGGAGAGCGACTTGTCGAGCTGGAATCCCCGCCACATGTCGCTCTGCAGGTTCTTCTTGTGCTCGCTGTCTACGGCCTTGATCTCGCGCTCGGAGCACGACGGGTCGAAGAGCGGTTCGAGGAAGAACTGCGCAAAGCGGTCGAGCGCGCCTTCAAAGTGGTCGGGCGAGACGTCAAAGAAGTAGTTGGTGTTGTCCATGCCGGTGTAGGCGTTGGAGCCGCCAGAGTGGTTGGAGAGGTACTCGGAGTACTCGTTCTCCCTGGGGTACTTTTTGGTGCCCATGAAGAGGAGGTGTTCGCAGAAGTGCGCCAGGCCCTGAAGCTCTTCGGGGTCGCTGAGGTGTCCGACGCGGATGTCCATGGCGGCACTGGACTTGTCCGTCTTGGGGTCCTGGATCACAAGCGCCTCGAGGCCGTTGGCGAGACGGACGAGACGGTAGCGCATGTCATCCTGAGCCGATACTTCGAGGTCCTTGGTGAAGACGGCGTAGGGAGTGGGGGCCTTGGAGCCATTGAGGGTCTCCTGGATCTCGAATCCAGCGGGTAAGCCCTCGAACGAGCCGGTGCCAAGGGTGATGGCCGCCGATGCAGGCGTGGCAAGCTGACGCGACGAGCCAGGAGCCCGATGAATGGAAGAGGACGCAACCATGCTGGGTGCAGTAGCGGTGCGGGCAGCAGGGAGGCTAGGAAGGACGGTGGAAGAGAGGTGGCGGCTGGCGTTGGGTGTGTTGGGAGAGCGGAGGAGGTTTGCAGCGGTAGAGACTGTGAGGCGAGGGGATGCGATGGCGAGAGAGGAGAGCGTGCGTTGGGAAGCCGACGAGTTCCGCGACGCTGTGCGGAGGAGGGAGCGACGGACAGGCAGCATGCAGAAGGGAGTGTTGTCGTCTCTGGGCTGATCCCCTCGAAGACTAGTGGAGGAAAGCAGGCAGGAGGCGCAGCGATTGGTGGGGACGACGACGAAACAGAGGAGTACAATGGAGAGAGCGGCGCAAAGCCGGACGAGGATGCGCAGACTGGGATGAAGTGGCCGGCGGCGGGTGTGTGCGATGCAGCCGATGCAAAGCGGAGGCGTGCTGGGTGGGGCTCTCTTCTCGTAAAGGTTCGGAAAGCCGAGGCGACGAGAGACTCTCGAGAGGGTGTGGTTTGTAGAAGGGGAAGCGGTCGTCGCGCTTCTATGGAAGGTCTTGGGTCTATAGATGAATCAGGAACCGGTGTGTAAGGTGCAGGTGATGGAAGTGTCGATGGAACAAAGGGAAGGCTGCTCGAGCGAATGCATACAGCCAGCTCAAGTCAGCGGCAGCAGCTCCAGTCTCGCTCCAAAGCGCCTTTTGGCTGCTGAGCCGCGCAATCACGGAATTTCGCCTGCGAAAGAAGCCGGTGCGGTGCGCAGTCGGAATGCCCTCAGCAGGCGAAATTTTCCTAATTGTGGATTTAGGAGGACTCTGACACGACCGACTTGTTTTCGACTGAAAGGATGCGCCACCGCTGCCACGTCAATCTGTGCGCACAATCCGCTTTGGAGTCTGGAAGACGAGATGTATTCGATCATATGATACAGAGCATGGGAATCCACGTTGCCTGCGTGTAGAAGGGCAGATGGAGCGTGCAGGTAGGCGGCTAGAGCGAATTGTCTGCGCACGTAAAGGGTGCTTTGACGCTTCCCGTGTTGTAGTTGTCGATGATGGACTGGACCGACACGTACAGGCCAGGTCCGAGGATGAACAGGCCCGTGATGATAAGGACGAACTGGAATGCCGTCTCGAGTTTTCGCAACCACGGCTGTCCGACCCAGAGCTGGCCCTTGTAGAGCTCGAAGAAGGCAAACGCCCAAAAGATGTAGCCAAAGTAGCAGTCGAAGAGCGCGCTCATCAAGGAGAGGAGCGTCGAGAAGAAGGGGATGGCCTCGCCAATCACCCAGCCCAGCACCCAGGTCACCGTGACGCAGCCGATCCAGCCCGCCCAGCCGATGACGGTGTGCTCGTTGTAGTGCTTGGTGCCGATAAAGATGCGGCCGAAGAGGTACTTGGCCACCACGGCCGCATACAGCACGCCAATGATGATTGTTGTCGGGAGGACGAAGGCGAAAGCGATCTTCTTGAAAACGGGACGAAGCGTTCCTACGGCTGGCGCCGTCGTGTACTGACCCGTGTAGCGGTACACCACAATGCCGGTGACGCTAAACAGCACGAATTCGGCGACTGTGACGGCGTAGAGCGCCTTGGGAAACTCGCGAGGATCGCGCATCTCCGCAATGAACGTCGGATACATAATGTGCCCGATCCAGGTGAAGACGATGTTCAAAACCGCTGAGAAGCCGGAGACGAAGCCAGTGTCCTTGGGAGCGAAAGCAGTGATGTAGACCGGCTCCTCGAAGGTGTCGACGGCGGGATTGGGGCCTTGAATACCGTGGAAGATGAGGACAAGGAGAATTGAAATGAACATGGATGCAGCCGAAATTATGCCGAGAATTGTGAGCTGTTCCAACTTGCGGGGGAGGGTGAGAAGAATGGAAAGAACCATGATGATGACAGAGAAGACGAGCGTGCACGTCCCGTGGTTGGAGAGAGTGTTGAGGATCTCCGAGCCGGTCAGCGTGTGCAGGCCCATAATGAAGACATTGTTCAGAACGAGAGCAAGCGCGGTGAGCTCATAGGCGATCTTGCTCTTGCCGAATATCTGATACCCAATGTCGCAAATGTTGAGCAGCTGAGGATGACGGAGGCAGTAGCGCCAAAGAATGAGCGAAGTGTAAAGCGCACCAAGACCGATGGCAAAGGTGGCAATTAAACCGCCTGCCATGCCAAGGTAGGAAAAGGCCCACGGGAAAGACAGGATGGCGAGGCAAACGTATTCGGTGAAAAGGAGAATGGCAGCCTTCTGCCAAGACAAAGTGCGGTACTTGATTGTACCGCCCTCCTGAGCTTCCCTGGCGCGCTGCGCGGCCAAGGCCTCCTCGGAGTCGGCATCGCTGCTGACCTCTACGATGTCGTCCCTCGCACCTCCGGACTTGGCCTTGTATTCCTTGTTATTGCGCTCGAGATCATCGGTGGAGGAGCCGTCGTGTGATGATCGTTGAGGCACGGGTGATGGAACCTTTTCGTCGACCTGGGTAACTGGGGCCGACATGTTTGCAGAAACACGGCTTCTAGCGGAAAAGAGGGGGTATGGTTGAGAGGGAAGAAAGGATGCTCGACTTGGGCTAAAGTCGACAGGAACCACCAGGGTGGAAAAGCGAGGGCGCACGCGAGCTAGCGAGGCTTGACTAGCACGAGCACGCTGCAGGCGTGGGTTCATCAAACACTGCGCAAACAGAAGTGCCCAAAATGGAAGGAAGGCTTGCGCTGCATTGCGCTGCATCCCGCCTTCATGAGCACGGCGTTTGCGTGTTCAGACCAGGGTCTCGCGGTCTCTGTAAAGGGGAAACCGGGCGCATCGCTTGCGAAGCGAAAGCGCACAGTTTTCGCCGCGGCGCTGATGGCGAGCTGCAGGTGCACCGCCAGCGCCCTGCGGATTTCGGAGTGTCAATGCGGTGTTTTGCGGGCGGCAAAGCGGAATCTGCCCCGGAGGCACCGGTGGCTCGCAGCTTTTGCGGCGCTTTGGCCGTGGCTTTTTCAAAATCCTCTGCTAGCGTGCCCGCGCGGCGAATGCGGCCTCCTGCAGAAGCATCGATTTTCCGCGCCCAAGCTCGTCATCGCGTCGAACTCCCGCCACCCAAAGCACGACATGTTGCCACCCGCCCATCACGTTTTGGTTCCGACGTGCAGGCAGCTCTAATCAAAGCTCGGTATCGGACCTATCCGCACATCAATCGGAAGGACCGCAAAACTACTCTCGCCACCGAGGCGAGGCGTGGGTACAGAGCAGGCACAGAGCAAAGAGGGCTGGGCTGCAGAGGGCTGGAGAGCGGCCCGCGTGAATTTCGCCCGCTCGACCGAGGTTGCGGCTTTGCTTCCGCTGGAAAGGCTGTCACGAGACGCCGGTTATTCTGAGATCGGCAGTGCCGACGTGGAAGACCTCATTGCACACATACACCGTAAATGGATACTGCGGGAGCGCGAAGGCAAGTCTTAGTCGCATCTTGGCATCGCTCCAGACATAGCATCTGTGCGGAGATGGTCTGCAGGGACCAGCAGGACCCACAGGAAAGCAGAGAACCACAAGGACCCTCAAAATTTCGTCTGGCGTGTGCCAAAAAAAAGGCACTTGTTACACCGCCGTTTCAACTCCTCATTGATTTTGTTCCTCCACCTCGGAAGTCGGAGCCTGGGCATGGACGCTTTTTTGGCTTCTTCTCGACCCTGATGAACGATAGACTTCGCTGCAACCCACCGCTTCTGCACATCACCATGGCGTCTGCACTGCGATCATCATCCATAGCTGCGCGGCGGGCTGGTTTCTGCCGCGCCGCAGGCCCTCGGGCGCTGTCGACAGCTTCGACAGCATCCGCATCCACCTCGCAAGCCAGCACCTCTGCACCGACCTCACGGCCACGCGTGATCTTTTCGGGCATCCAGCCCACGGGCATCCCACACCTGGGCAACTACCTCGGCGCGCTACGCAACTGGGTGGACCTCCAGAACGCCTCGCGCGACACGTCGGACGAGCTGTACTTTAGCATTGTCGGCTACCACGCCATCACGATGCCGCAGAACCCATCACGGCTTCGCACGGAGCGTTCCGAGATGATGGCGACGCTGCTCGCGATCGGACTGGACCCACAGCGATGTACGATCTTCCACCAGGACCACGTGGCGGAACATACGGAGCTGGCATGGATCCTGAACTGCCTCACGTCGTTTGGCAAGCTGCACCGCATGACGACGTGGAAGGCGAAGCTCGCGACGGCGCGCAATGTGTCCGACACCACCGAGGTGGATGACAAAGACCTCAGTCTCGGGCTGTTTGCGTATCCAGTGTTACAGGCGGCGGATATTCTACTGTACAAGGCAACGCATGTTCCTGTGGGAGAGGACCAGATTCAGCATCTGGAACTTAGCCGCGATCTGGCTGATGTGTACAATCGCCGGTTTAAACGAACTTTCCCGCTGCCCGCACATATTATTACGCCGACGAAGAGGGTTCTGTCGCTGCGCGATCCGACGAGCAAGATGAGCAAAAGCGCCCCAGATGCCAACTCGAGGATATTGCTCACGGATACGCCAGAGGAGGTAAGGAGGAAGGTCAGAAAGGCAGTCACGGATGCAGAGGTGCAGCTGGGCTATGCGCCGGAACAAAGACCGGGCGTAAGCAATCTGTTGGCTATCCTTGCAGCACTCAAGTCCCAGACGAACGCAGTGGGGACGGTGGGGATGGAACATGCTGGGCCGGAGGAGTGGGCGGAAAGGCTGAACCAGGAGATCAGGGAGTCGGGCGCGTCTTCGGGACAGCACCTAAAGGCGACTCTCACCGACGCAGTGGTGGAGACACTACGGCCGATCCAGACCGAGCTCGAAAGGCTGCGGAAGGATCCGGGCTTTTTGACCGAGATGGAGCAGCTGGGCAAGCAAAAGGCCCAAAGCGTCGCGCGACGGACCATGAGCCAGGTACGCAAAAGTATCGGCCTCGAATGATCCTCCTTCACCTGCCTGCAATCAAGTGTCCATCCTAGACCGCCATCCGAGTGTGCAGTTGAGGCTTGTCTGCATTTCGGTGCGCGTACAAATACAGGGGGTATGATTGCTTTCTGCATGCTTGCTAGAAGCTTTCGAACTTGTCTCTGACAGCATGTGCAGCAGCCAGAAGATCTTTGAGTTCCTTCTCTGCCTGTTCGAGCTTGACCTTCTTGTCGTTGTTCTCCTTTGCCACGCCGGACCTATCGATCTGCAACTCGTGCTTCTCCGCCTCGAGCCGTCTCCTCTCCTGCAACTCGAACTTGAGTCTCGCCAGCATCAATTCATGTTCATCCCCTTCAACGTCGGGATGAAGCGCATGGAATTCTTCCAGCGGGTGCAGTTGGATGTCCTGAAAGATGGACTGGAACTCTTGGCAGATCTTCACTTCGAGCTCGAGCATCGCCTGTTCGTACTTGAGGTTCTGCAATGCCAATCGTGCCGTATCGACTTTGGCTCGTTCGTCGCCAATGCGCGTCTTTTGAGATTGCACGTCCGTGTGGATCTGGCGGTTGATTCGTTTGAGTGCGGAGAAGTATGGCATAGAGAGGGTGAGAAGCTCCATAGCCTCGACTCGACTCGAGCTGTCCAACTTGCGTTCGGATAGTGAGGAGAGCGCTTCAAGCACCTGCTTCAGCTCAGATTCGGTGCGTATCGATGCCATGGTAGCGTGCTGCGTGGGCGGTCGAAGTCAAAGCGCGATGAGAAGATGTCGACGTCGAGAGGATGGTCGAGTCGAATCCTCAACTCCACCTCTCTAGCCCGCACCCCGGGATTAATTTCGGCATCACGCCAACGCGATCTCACACGACCCGACTTTTTCGCACCTTCGACCAGCTTCCTCCAGCTCTCACAAGCCGCCAAACGCTTCACATCGGCAACACATACTCAGCACCGACATCTGCTGGCGCAGTTGATTGAGTGTGGAAAGATTCCATATAAATACAGGGTGGCAGTGCCGATGCAATCGCAGTGCGGCTTGGCGCGGGTCTATGCGGAAGCGTTCTGTTCAGCCAGCAGCGTGGCTGGCGTGCTTGCCACCTCCTTGGTTGGGCTGAAAGACTGGTACAACTCGCCGCGCGGGCCGGAACCGTTCGATGACAGCGCCGTAGGCGACCGCGCTTCGCTCGCACCATCTGCCGCAGCTGACAACCCCGCCGATGCGACCGTGAGCTCTTGCACTTCCGCCTGGGCGCTCCTCAGATCCGCCTCGGCGCGCTCCTGCGCAAGCCTGGCAAACGCCAGTCGCTGATACGTGTGCATGCTCTGCACAAACTTCCTCCCGACCGGATGCTGGCAGAGCCTGAGCAAGAAGTCCACCACTGCGTCCCTCACCGCCTGCATGGGATGGAACAGTCCAGTGGCGATGGGGAGCAGCCCACCGGTATGCGGCGGGAGCAGCGCAAGCACCTCGACGATCTGCTCGTGCGTCACGACGCCCTGCGCAATCGTCTGGAAGATCAGATCCGACTCGCCGACGTGCAGCTTCTTGGCCCTGCGTAGGCGACCCAGCTGGTGGGCGAGGTCAAAGCTGCGTATCGCGGGTGTCCAGCCGCCAAATTCGCGCACCTTATCCGCCAGCAGCTGGTATGCGATGGTGCGACGGAAGCCCTCGATGCGCATCTGGTTCGACAGGATCTCGCGCATCTCGGAATCGCGATCCGCGTACACGGGACCCGACCCCAGTTGGCCGTTGAGGAACGGCTGGCATGCAGGTCCGAGCCAGGTGCGCCCGCAGAAATGCTCCTCGTGCCGAGCCACGCGCTGGACAAAGTGGAAGACGTACTCCTGCACGCGGGAGCGGATGTAGCGCTCGCCATAGTGCGCAGCGATCGCACTCTGCAGCTCTTCCATGAAGAGCGTGTTGCTCGCGTCCGAGCGCGTGTCGTACTGCGCTGTGTTGGATCGATCGCGTGCCGATGCGCCACCCATGCTCGACGGCTTGTTCGATACCGGCCCGTTGCCGATCGCCGAGCCGATGCCACCAGTACCATTGGTAGGAAGAGCGCCGAACTGCGCCAGATCTGCATCGGCGCTGGATTTGAGGTCTGTGCCGGTAGCGGAAGAGACACTGCCGAATGCACTGTTTGAGCCTGCAGCTTCGCGCGGCAGTGTGGCCGATCGCTGCATGGCATGCGAGGGTGCACTGGTGGGCGTCGGAGCGGGAGCAATGTCCTTGGCCACCTGAATGCGACCCGTCTCGACGTTGAGCAAGAGGTCCCAAGCATGAAGATCCTCGAAGCGTGGGTTGGTCACGCCGGCAATGTAGCCGGGCACGGTTTCGAGCTCGTCGAGCGCAAGCAGGTTGGTGTAGGGAAAAGCGCGTGCAGCGAACCCCTGCAGCACTGCGCCGCATCCGGAGCCGAGTGCACAGGCAGCCAGGACAAAGCTGGCGACCAGATGGGCAGGCTGGCCGTAGCCGAGGAAGATGACGCGCTTCTGTGTGACGAGCGCGTTGAAGAGGACGATGATGGGGTGGGTGGAGGGACCGTTGATGTGCAAGTGCGGGTGGACTGGTCCCGAGGGAGTGGACTGCGGGCCGGAAAAGGTCTGTATGAGGCGGATGAGCGAGTACTCCCCCACTTCCTCGGGGAAGGTGGTGAGCGGGACGCGAATGGGCAGCGGCACGGAGCGGTAGACGAGCGTGGTGTCGAAGAAGTGGGTATCACGAGGCCTGTACGCCGAGTTGGCTGTCGAGGAGGCGATCCTCTTGTCAGGGGTGGAGGAAACGCCTGCGATCGAGTTGGCGGACGAGCCCCTGCGAGCGCCTATACTAGGACGTAGAGAGGAAACGCTGAGCTTCTTCTTGATGGATCTGGTTTCGGACGAGAGGGTGGAGGTGCTGTTGGTGCGCGGCCGGACCGGGTCGGAGGCCTCGGCATTGCTTGGTGTGGAGCGCGCCGTTTCGACTTCTTCGATCTGAGCGGGAGCAGAGGCGGGCTGATTGGAAGCAAGCGTATCGATGCGAGGCGTGGCAGCGAAGCGCTCCTCGAACAGATCGCGACGATCCGAGGCGCGGAGCACGAGCTTCTCGGCACGGCTGAAAGTGGGAGCTGACAAGAGGTCGAGACGGTTGATCGAGTCGTACAGACGCGCAAGACAGTCCGGGCCAGGATCCTGAAAGTAGTCGTCGAGGGCGAGGAGGAGTGCTGGCTTGAAGACGTCGATGAACGGATGGCGGGTGCCGATGGCCATGGCCTTGACCATCGCACCACGACGCACGGTATTGTCGTGCTTGGTGCGGACGAGATTGATGACGTATGTGAGGTCGTCCGAAAGCCAGGACGATGGGTCTTGCGAGCCGGAGGCGGAAACAGAAGCGTGCGATTGAGACGAACGGTCGTCATCTGCGGCAGCATCTCGAAGCGCGGGGCGTTGCGTGCCCGGCGGTTTGAGAAAGAAGAAGGTCCAGTCCTCGGTCCTTGTGTGCACTCCATCCGGGAGCATGAGTTCTGCAAGCATGTGCTCATCGTAGCCGGAGGGAGCTGGATACTGGTACGAGAGGGTGGAACCACGGTCGATGTCGAACTCGGCGAGCATGCAAAAGGTGCAGTGATCGTTGGCGTTCCTGTCTGCGGGCGCATCACTGCGAGCAGCATCCGTGGTTGTCGTCATGATGTGCAGCAGCGCACAGCAGCGCACAGCAGCGCACAGCAGCGCAC